CTCTCTCTCTCTCTCTCTCTCTCTCTCTCTCTCTCTCTCTCTCTCTCTCTCTCTCTCTCTCTCTCTCTCTCTCTCTCTCTCTCTCTCTACAATCATTGATGACCCTTGCAAGCCATTGAATCAGTAAATTTTATGGAAAATGGAGGAAAAATACAAAAGATAACACAAATATCCAACCCCATGACTTAAACCATCTACATTACAATGCCACAACCACGGCAGCTGCAGGATAGTTTGAAAAAAGGCCGAAATTTAACTTGTTATTTAAAGGGCTGTAAACACACATGCTTACGAGCTTTCGGTGTTCTACAATCAAAATTTGCTATCATCACGTTATTGGAAAAAGAAGTATTGCATGATACAATGAGAACGTGCATTATAATGCATAACATGATAATTGAAGATGAACATGGTATCAATGCCCATGTTAGACATGCAAGATCGGCACCCCAACCAACCGTTGAAATGGCGATAAATGAACATTCTCAGTTTCAACAATTTTAAACTCATAATCTTCAGATAAAATTCAAGAGACTCATTTTTTACTTCGAAATGCGTTGATTGGTCATATATGAGAGTATTATGGAAATAACCATATTGAGTAATTTGTATTTTTATTTATTTTATGTATTAATGTGTGTTTTTAATTATTTTATGTATTTTTATAATAGATTGTATTTATAAATATTATGTTTAATATTTTTAATCTGTATGTATTATTTATATATAAAAAATTTAGTGACTAGAATTGAATTATATTAAAATTGAGGAGTAAAATGTAAATTACATAACGTTTTGAAGATAAATTTGAGCTCCTTCTTGTAGTAACCCACCCTTAAACCCTCATTTTGAGGGTCTTGGCCCTCAGAATGAGGTTCTTTGTTGGATATTTCGTTAGTCCCTAAGGCAATTGTTCGAAAGAACAACTGATCTATCGAATAAAAAGACATTTTTACCCATGAGAAGGGTTAGAATGTCAATCTGCAAGAACTTTGGGTGAGGAACTCTAGAACTGTAGACAACATCGAGAGAACGAAGCCCTAACTAAATTGATTTGACATTGAAACAAACACAATCAGCAAGGCTTACCAAAGATACTAAGTGAATCTCAAATGCATCAGGAAGATGAATATGATACGATGTCATATCTATATTATTAAAACATAAGTACAAAAATAAAATATACCTCAGTTTTACAACTTATTTACAATGATATACTATTAAAGTTATTAATTAATATACCTTTTAGCATTCTTTGTCTTTTCATGTTTAATTAATGCATTTTTAAAATTAAATTCTAAATAAAAATCATGGCAACAATCTTATATAAATAAAGCGACTTATCTCTCTTCTCTTGTTGCCACGTCATGAGAGAGATAGGGGCATTTTCTGTCACCCCGGCATCACCTTAATTTTATCCACTTCTGATTTTGTTATTTTCCCGGGCCATTCGTTTCTATTTTTCTGGTTTGAGCCAATTGTTTTCTATTTTTATATGTGGCCCATTAAAATT